ATGACATTTCAATATCTAACATCTATTCACCAAACACAAGGGCACCCTCAATGTAAAAGAAACACTACTGCAGCTTAAATCGAATATTGACCATCACACTGATAATGGGAGATGTCCATACCCCACTCTCAACCATGGACAAGCCATTTAGACATAAGCTAAACAGAGAAATACTGAAGTTACCAGACATTATAAACCAAATGGACCTCAGTGATATATATTGAACATTTCAACCAAACACAAATGAATCTCAACACTGTAAAGAGTCCCCAAACCTTAGCACAACTGACTCCATGATGGAAGTGTCATTAGGCTGTAAAACTCAGCACATATTCAGCACTACCTGCTGAAACTGAAAACACAAAGTCTAATCTAGCTAATAAAGACTTTCTACTAGCTTAAACCCACGTCTCAGCAGTCTACTCAAAAGAATACCCACAAGCACCTCATGGAACTTTCTCCATAATTGACCATATACTCAGACACAAAGCAAGCCTCAACAGATACAAGAAAACTGGAATAACTCCTGCATCCTATCAGAACACCACAGATTAAAGCCAGATATGAACAACATCAGAAGAATCATATTGTTTACAAATTCATGAAACCTGAACACCACTCTAATGTATGAAAAATGGGTCAGGATAAAAATAAAGAAATGCAAGAGTTTCTAGAAATAACCGTACAACAGACTGAATGTTTTCTCAAGAAATCAGCCTATTACTCTTTCTTTCAGCCTTACTTGATTTCATAGAACATGTACAGAACACAGAAACATATACCAAAATATTACATAAACAACATGTCTTAGTGACTGTTCTGTTGTTATGAAGAAGCACTGTGATCAAGGCAACTCTTATAATGGAAGACTTTTAATTTGAGGATTGATTATAGTGACAGAGGGTTAGCTGATTATTATCTCAAAAGAAAGCATCACCATAGGCAGGTGTAGGGCTGGGTGCTACATCATGACACAGGCAGTTAGGCAGAAAGAAACACTTGCCTTGCACTGACCTTTTGAAACCTCAAAGTCCACCTACAGTGACACACTTATACAAACAAGACATACCTACTCCCACAAAGGCATATCTCCTAATTTTATACAATTAGTACCATTGATTGGGCACTAAGCATTCAAAGACAGGAGCCTGAGGCTGTAGAGCAACTATAAACCATGAGGGGAATACAACCTAAGAAGAAAGAGCTCTAAAGGAAGAGAGTGAAAGATACTAAGGGTAACAGAGAGGAAAAGGGAAAGATTTAAAAAAAAAAGAGAGAGCAACAAAAGGAAAAATATATTTCCTATAAGTAGGGAGAGCCAACCCCTCTGGTTGGGAAACAGGCTTGCTTAGTATAACTTTCCTACCCCATCTAAGAACAGATTAAACAATTTGAGGCCTACAAACTAAGTTTTAAATCCATATTTTTTCTCTGAATACATGGGATTATCTCTTGTTTCCATCCCTACCCAGTTCCCTCATAGTACCCGGAAGAGCTTGGATCTGGTCTAATGAAGGCAGTCAGTCTCTTGGTGTGGTTAAGTGTGCCTACTGTATATGATGCCATCTGGAAGCTGCATTTCTAACTGGATAGAGGTGCCACACAAGGTTACTACAGTTTTAATTTTGATTTATCTCTTTTAAGAAGTTGAAATCTGAAAGTCTTCAATTCCAGCCAACATGGAGAATCAAAAATCTGTCTTATCACATCCCAGACCAGACTCAATTAGGATAAAATGAGCCAAACAATATCTTGTGTCTGGAAACTGAAAAAGTGAAATACCTGGATGACAGCAACTGGTTTCCACAGTACAATGTGTGGACTCAACTGTCTCTGGTTGTGGCCATGGAATTCTTTCCTGTTTCTTAGCTGTGTGGGGACTACCTGCCTAGGCCAACAGTAACATCTCCTCCTATATTCATTATAACCTAATTAAAGTGTTGTTTTGTTTGTTTGTTTTTAAAGGGTGTAACTATGCACATTTAACTTTGAAAAATGGGGATTCCACTGGAACTTGTACCTGCTGGAGAATAGGCTCACCTTACCAGTGAGTTGTGCTAACCTTAAGTAGAAAGCAACCCTGTGGTTTGCTGCTATCCTGGCTATTATGTCAATATTACATTAGGACAATACAGAATTAAACTACTGATTCAGAAAAAGTCCAATAAACAGTCTAACAGTTAAAACCTGGGCTTGGTGGCACATGCCTTTAATCCCAGCACTTGGGATGTAAGCACACTTGGATCTCTGTGAATTCAAGGCCAGCCTGGTCTACAAACTGAATTACTGAACAGCCAGGACTACACAAAGAAATCATGTTCGGAAACCTCCCCCGTCCCCCTCAAAAAGACTGTACTATCTGGGAAACAATAAATGGATCAACAGAACATGAGTGCAAGCTTAGTCTGGTGGGGGAGGAAGACAACTAAAAATTTATTCTACCAATTAATAGAATCAGATGGGAAAAGATCATCATACATGAAAAAAATATCAACACACGATTGAACAGAAACTACACACAGTGACATCCGATGACTTTAAACTTCAAAAGCAATAGCAATGAAGACTGTACTGTCCCTGGGGGTTGGTGGCAGGGGGATCTCTGTGAGTATAAGGTCAGCCGGGTCTATAGAGCTAGTTCCAAGATAGCCAGAACTACAAAGAGAAACCCTGTCTCAAAAAAACAAATAACAACAACAACAACAAAAGAATGTATTATCTGGGAAAGAATGAAGAGACCAACATAACATAAGAGCAAACTTAGAAATAAATGAGACAAACAGGTTTGTACTTACCAACACGAGAGAGTTGCCCAATTGGAAATTTCAGTGTTCAAGGTAATCTCCCCAAACTGTACTTCTACCAATTTGGTTTTCCTTCATTCACATGGTATGAATTAATGCATACTGGGAAAGTACACAGAAAGGTACTCACCCTGCTCAATCATGTCCTTTTTTATGACAGAGACACCTACAGGTCAATAACTTAAACAACCTCTAATCTAGCTACTGCCTAGCCTATTTTCCCCTGCAGTGTAAACAATAAACAATTCTTTCTATTCTGCTCTCAAAGGAGAAGCTATTGTTGGACACACACATCCTTTTCCTAATAGTGCAACAGATAGCCCATTCTGTGACTCAAATGGGTGATATTAGAAGTGGGTGATGCTACAAACCTTTAATCAAGAATTGAGGAGGTTGAGTCCAGAGGAAAGCAGGGTCAATGCCCTCTGGGCCTAAACACTGGGATCAAGGCAAAGAAAGTCAATGTAACAAACCTTGTCTTAAAATATTTTTCTGAAAGCTTGAAGGTGCAATTGTTCTGGAATTAATGTACCATCACAATGAGAAGTTCATGCCACACACTTAAGAGATTAACTGAGGAAAATCTCTTCAGCAATTACAAGTCTCTAGCTCTACCTACACACAAAGAGGAGCTGACAAGGGGCAGATTTGCTAACATATTCACCATAGGCTTATGCATTACACATATGCTGTAAACCTGCAGAAATGATGCCTACCATCCTCTTACTATCATGGATTGCTCAGTTTGCTTCCTTACACAACTTGGGATCACCTGACCAGGGTGACACTAACCACAGTGGGATGGGCCCTATTACATCAACCACAAATCAAGAAAATACCCCATAGATTTGCCCACAGACCAGTGTGACTCTAACTTGTGTCAAGCTGACCAAACCTAACCAGCATACCTACTGAGTCATCTCTAACCCCCAAAGACAGATTGTTAAGCAAACCTCAACTCTCTTAACACTTGCTTTTCAGTATATACTTCTCACATACACCAAGTTTTGAAAATCTGTTAAGTTTAGTATTGGAAAGATGGTTCAGCAGTTACCACCATATTTTGCTCTTACAGAAGTCCTGGGTTTGGTTCCCAACACTAACATGGTGGTACACAATCATCCCTAGATGCTATTATAGAGAATCTGATGCCTCCTTCTGTCTTCTGTGGGCACAAAACACACACGTGGTGAACATACATATATATGCAAGGAAATCACTCATACAAATGAAGAAATATTGAATAATTAAAAACATGTACCCTCATATCTCTTATATTTCAACATAGATAAATAAGTCAGAAAAAATACACAGAAATGTGATAAATATCTGTATCAAAATTATACCTTTGTAATTAAAGGAATCAAGAAACTTGATCAAAGGAGAGAAATTCCATGATTGTAGACAAGAAAACTAAATACTATTTCAGTGTAGAATCTGAGCTATAAATTCAGCAACACTCCAATAAAAAGTCTAACCATTTTTCCTATCAACAACAGAAAAATGATGACAAAAGCTCATGAATGAAAAAATGACCAACACAAGATTGAGTAAATAGCACACACAGTGACATCATCTGACTTCAAAACTCAGCACACAACTGCAATAAAGATTGTACTGTCTGGAAAAGAATAAACAGACCAATAGAACATAAGAGAAAATTTAGAAACAAAATCACAATTAAAAAAAAAAATCTCGATTTGAACACAGGAGGCCTGGAAACCTTACTAACACACGTGACTGGACCACCCTGGCATCTACATGCAAATGTGTTGACACAGACTTTACACCCTGCACAGAATTAACTGCAGGCGGATCCTACACCTGAATGTTCAGCGCCAAGTGCAGAACTTCTAGAAGACACTAGAGAAAGTAAGAGTTCTTTCATTTAGCAAACCTGCCTTTCAAGGCGATAACGACAGCGGCGCATGCAGCGCGTGGTGCGTCACAACTAGGAACTATCCACGCACAGTTCCCACATCCCCCTGTTCTTTGCAGCCACAGCCTCAATCCGCAAATGGAAGTTATTCCTAGGCTGCAGGACCCAGGAATTGCAAGAACAGCAAGGACCTCAGGGTATTCACGTGACCTCTCAGGGCGCGGAGTCTGGCCTCCGGTTCCCACAGCCCCGGAAGGACCCCACCCCAGGTCCCGCGGTCCCTCCCCGCCCGCCCAGGGACTGCGCCCCTCGCTCACCATGGCGGATTCCGAACACGTTCCGCTGCTCTCCTCACAGCTCCCCGAAGCGGAGCCCGTAGCCGCCTAGACTCCAGCATGGCAGACCAGAAGTGCCCTCCCTTAGTCTGACTTCCAAGTCCGCTTGGTAGCCCTGATTGGCTAGTGAGGCCTGAGTGACAGGCGCAGCTCCCTTAGGGACAGAGTGTTGTGAACAGACCCAGCACAATGATTGGCAGCCCTAGCTTTCGCCCCAGGCACAGAACTGTCTGAGACCTTCGGAGATTGCGTTGCCGCAGAACTTTGCCTGGACTGCAAAGGCGTCCCTGCACTTTCCCTGCACACACCAAGCACTTCCCGTCCTTCCTCTTGGACACAGGGTGTTAAGTCTCAAACTTAGTACAAAAAGTTGAGGTGCGTATTTAACCTATAAAAGACACTGGCTTCCAGGTTCTCCCTGCCTCCCTCAGTCCCTACCTGTGGCAGGATATGGCTGCCATGCCCCGCCCCCTTACCTGAAGTTCTCCAGCCCAGGGGCTGAGCCGCCCTTCCCTATAGAATCCAACCATTCTGACAATCCCGTCATTTTTAATTAATTAATTAATTTTGCCATCTGTTCTTTTCCTTCGTGACCTTTTAGTCTGCCTCTCCCCTCTCCCCTAGCTCCTCCTCTCACATGGCTCAGGCTCATGTCCACTCTGGACTTTCCCAGATATCCCTGTCTCTCCCTATAATCTCCCTTTTTAAAAAAAAAATTGTGTGTGTGTGTGTGTGTGTGTGTGTGTGTGTGTGTGTGTTTTCCCGAGACAGGGTTTCTCTGTGTAGCTTTGCGCCTTTCCAGGAACTCACTCTGTAGCCCAGGCTGGCCTCGAACTCACAGAGATCCGCCTGCTCTGCCTCCCGAGTGCTGGGATTAAAGGCGTGCGCCACCACCGCCCGGTTTATATGACTCAGCCGTTAAAGCTAGACTCACAACCAAAAATATAATCTCCCTTTTATCAACAACAAACTTTCTCCTCCTCTACCATACCTAGGAGCACTCATGTCCTTTCCTTTTTTTAGGGTTTTTTTTTTTTTTTTTCATTCAATCTGGTGCTGTGAAGGCAATACAGACTTCATCTTAGTGTAAGGCCACCATTTTAGACCACCTGCTGTACTCAATTCCAGGAAGGACCTCAGGAATGTGCCATGACAATTCAAACAGATACAGGGCAGTATGCCCCTATAGAAATCCTGTCTGTGGTTTATGGTCCTTAAAGATATCTAGATAATCATGCTAAGCAGCCCCGATAGTCCTGCTCAGCAAGTTATTGTAGCTGTGTGGTTCCATGCGGGTCCATGAAATGAAGACACAGAGGCATCTTAAGAATGAATCTAGCCTTTTATGGCTGCAGGGGGGTCCAGCCTTGAAGGACTGAAGCACTAATCCTTTGCCCAGGGCATATTTATTTACTCCACTTTACAGTTTAGATAGTTAAGCTCCGTACCTTCAAAGCAAACCAAAAGGAGCTCCCAGAGACCAAATGCCAGGTGCAAATTACTTGATTTATCAGGTACCATGGTTTTCCTGGTTTCCTGGACCAAGTTTTGCATAGGCCTTTGATCCTTGGGGGACTCTCTGATCCTTGACTCTCAAACAAGATTCACATAGGGCGATAAGAGAAACAAAAGGTGTGGTTAAACAAAAGAAGGATTAGGGTTAGGTGCTGCTCTCTGGAGCCAAGCCAGGAGCTCAGCAGGAATGCCACTACAAGTTGTGGTTCCCTGCCAAAAGTTTAACCCAATGGTTTCCAGTGTGGTTTTGCACCCAAAGTCTAGACCAATAGTTTCCAAAAAAAAATCACCTTGTGCCATATCCCTTCTACCCAATCCCAAATTGTCAAAGCATGTAATTCCCAGCTTGCAGGTTTTCCCTATAAAAACTCTCTACACCTGGGCTCGAAGTGGCATTTCCCTCCACCTGCCTGGCAATAAAAGAACCTTTATGTGCTTGCATGGGAAACCAGCTCCTTGGTGGTCTCTGGGGGTTTCAAGAAGCGGGTACAACAATGCCTGAATCTGGGACCAGTCATGTCTTTGAATTTTTATTTCTTTTTTTCTTTTTCTCTTTCCATTCACAGTGTTTCTAGCATACACAGATTATTATTACTTACGTGTAGTGGAGTGATTCCCATGCCTCACAGCTGAAATGATGCCCAACCCATTCAGGTGAAACTTAAACCTCCCGATTCACATTCACCAGGCATGAGCAATTTCAAAAAAGCTCACCTAGGATTGCTCACACTTCTCTCAGCTGCACATTGTTAGCCAAGCATGAACACTTTCCCAGCCTGCTGTGGTGGCACTGGTGCATCATGTTAGCATTTGGGAGGTGGAGGCAGGACATCAAGAGTTTAAACCAGCACAATCTGTGACACAAAACACCAAAAATTTGGGTACTGAATAGGAGCCGATGAGAGAGGTATCAGGTGTTACATAAGCTGATGGCTCATGCTAAGAAAGTGTATTAAGAAGTACAGCTTTGATACACAATGTGTAGGGGGAGAATGGGACAGTCAGCGGAAAGCTAATTAAGCCATACTGCCAAGAGGAACACAGGATACTCCAGACTGAGCTCACAATGGGCATGAAAATGATAACCATAGCCTCTCAGCTGAAGAGCCTGGTTCCCTTGACTCTTTCAAGATGCTCACTCAAGCACTGGGACTAGACCTTGTCAAGTCAGGCCTTGGACAAAGACACAGAACTACTGTTCCCTTGGAGCTTCATGAAGGTATCTGAGAAAGCCTTGGGTTGGCCAAGCTCCCAAAAAGCCCATCCCCAACCTAAATAAACAAAAACACATATGAAAATGTTAACAAAGGGATTAACGCATGGGAAGAAAGACTAGTGGAGACTGAAGGCAAAAACAACAAAATAGGGAATAAGAAAGTATTGATACCAAAAGTTGATTTTAAAAACCGTCCTTGTTATATGGTTGGTTATATTACTTTTAAAAGGAGACAGACTCAAATTGTTGATTTCCCATATGAATACAGTGGTGAGAGCGGTAGTGCAGTCCTGGGATCCCACCACATGGAATGCTGAGGAAGGAGCATCACAAGTTTAAGGCCTGGTATAACTATAGGCTAAGTTGACAAAAAAAAAAAAAAAAAAAAAAAAAAAAAAAAAAAAAAAAAAAAAAAAAAACAACTTGGGCAACTTAACCAGACCCTGCCTCAAAATAACTTTTTGTTTAAACCTCAGTGGACAGATGCTTGCCAAGCATGGGAGAGCTCTAGAATGAGAACCCAGTATTCTCTACCCCAAAAATGACAACAGAGCAACTACACCAATATACTGAAATGGGTGGGTTAGAAGGGAGCGCTCTGACAGGAACCAGCTAGTTGGCTCAGTGAGCAAAGGCACTTCCAACCAAGTCTGAAGTCTGAGATCAACTGAGGAGAGAATCCATATCTCCAATTTGTCCTCTGACCTTCACACATGTGCTGTGGCATGTGTGTCCACACATGTCTAAATGACCCAAATTCAGAATTTTTAAAAAGAAAAGTGAAAACAAGAAAAACAAAAATTCACCAAAACTAAAAATTCCAGCAAAATAGCTAGTTATGTGGTAGTTCAACCATTGACAAAATAGAACTCCTTCAGAACACTGCTAGAGTAAGTGTCTGGACTGGTAAGCCAACCCTGCCCCCAAGCCCTCTGTAACACTCTGGAAGCCTGCAGAGTGAAGTGAGCTCCCACCATCCCAGCTAGAAAGATAAGTGTGGTACCTTGAACCTGTGCTGGAACCAGCCACCTACTGAGTCAGACCTCAACTCTGACCAACTTCTTGGAAGTTGAGGACTCATTTCTGGGGCACTAGTCAGGCTTGCTATGAAACTGAGAAAAAACAAAGAAAAGTTAGTTTTGGGGACAACCATATATCAGGCCAGCTGTAAAAAACATACTATGATTTTCATTTTTGTAAAAAGAAACTTTGACAAAAACAATGCACCAAAAATCTGCAGTCTCTTAAATAATCATTCTGTAGAAAAGGCCCATCAATGTAAATACATAATTTTAGTCAACTAAACCCTACAGGACAAAATATTTGTACTTAATCACTCCATATTTTCTATACTGCCTCTAAATATTCTGATGACTGAATTATACTTATTTTACTGCCCAGTCAACTTATGAGTCTACAGATTTATTTTTCTCTCAATTCTGTGTCATTAGTAAAAATTAAGTAAAACAAATGAAGAAAAGGAATTTTTACATCTCACCTTTATTGTTTAATTTTCTTTGTCAGGGTCTTACTCTATGAATTTGGCTGCTCAGGAACTCATTATGCAAACCAGGCTAGCCTAAAAAGCATAAAGATCAGTTTGCCTCTGCTGCAGAGTGCTAAGATTAAAGGCCTGTGTAGACAAATTGTTATATGGTCTTATTAATAAAAAACACGGATGCCGGGGGGTGGTGGTGGCGCACGCCTTTAATCCCAGCACTCGGGAGGCAGAGGCAGGCGGATCTCTGTGAGTTCGAGGCCAGCCTGGGCTACCAAGTGAGTCCCAGGAAAGGCGCAAAGCTACACAGAGAAACCCTGTCTCGAAAAACCAAAAAAAAAAAAAAAAAAATAACACGGAGCCAGAAAATTGGGGTTAAAGCTGAAAGATCAGAGAAAGAGGACAAGCCACAAGCCTACCTCACCTCACCGACCCTCCGCTTCCGAAGAGACCTACTTCCTGTATACCCACACCTATATGCCTTTCTGTTCTGCCAACTCATTTCCTCTCTGCCCAGCTATATCACTTCCTCCTCCAGCCCAGCTCTGTCACATCCTGTCTGTCTGTCCAGACCTCCAGACCTTTATGGTTAGTGCTGGGAATTAAGGTGTCTGCCACCGTGCCTGGCTCTATTCCCAGTGTGTCCTTGAACTCACAGAGATCCAGACAGATCACTCCTGAGTGATAGGATTAAAGGCATGTGCTACCATTGCCTGACTTCTATGTTTAATATAGTGGCTGACTTTTTCCTCTGATCCTCAGATAAACTTTATTGGGGGACACGGATAAAATATCGCCATAGGCCTGCAACACCATGCCTGACTTGTATTAATTCTGCACACCTCATTTA